TCTTTTCTTTAATGTTTCACTCTCTCCTCCTCTCCATCTCATTTAATATATAACATATTCTCTCTCTTCTTTTCGCCTTTATTTTCTTATTTTGTAGCTTAGCTCATTTTCTAAATATATTTTCTCCTTTCTTTTATCTAAGCAATTTGTTAAGATAGATAGTCTCCATATTTTTTACTTTGTTGTTCTTTTTGCATTTTGTAGTTAGATTCTTTACTCATGTATATCTTTATTTTCTTAGCTTGTTAATTTATTTGTGTTTATCTTCTCTTCTCCCCTTTCTAAATCTATTTACCTAAAACCCCATTTTCGCCTTTAAACCCTTTTCGTAAACTTTCTTGTTGAGTTCCAATGTTGAAATAAGAGGGAAGTCAGCTTTGCCGATGGGATACGGCCTTATGGCCTGATTCTCCCTCGAAATGCAATTTGACGGGACCCATTATCTTCCAACTATTTGATTTGTTTGCACCCAAAACCAATGTTGGGGCGAAGTCTTTTGCTCGCATTTTTTAATACAAACGGTCTTGCACCCACTGTGGGGCTCGTCAAGCTGTCCTTTCATCTCAGCCTTTGAAGCGCCCTCTCAAATTTCCGTTTCAAAAGGGCACCATCGACTTGGAACTCTTCTCGGCTTGTTTTGAGCTTCCGTTTCTTTCTGGGGTCCGAAACTGACAAAAGTTATCAAGGGCGGGCGTCAAAACCACACTCGACAAATTTTGCCCATCTCGGCTCCTCTGTGTACTTTTCGAAATCACTAAGAATAATACGATTGGTAGTGTCGCCAGTGCCATTGCCAGTACCGTTAGAGCTCAGTGACTCGAGAAAGTCCTCTCGGCCCTCCTAGACTTGCTGTTGGCCATTTTCCCTAAGTTTTAAATAGTATAGTATTGAAAATATTTGCCCAGTCTCCAGCGACATTCACAGTGCTGCAAGAACTCTGGTTCTCTAGTTCTTAGCCCTTGACTATCTGAAATTCCCATATTGACGATTTTGCCCGCTGTGCCAACTGCTTTGGCATTAGTACCATAACTATGTTGCCTAGGACAGTCTTTTCCTTTTTGGACTATAAACAGAAATGAACATATTAACAAGAGAAGGCATCGACAATATACATAACGCGTCACAATCATCTTTCACTTCCACCAAATCCATGTCATTTGATAACTCATGGTAACAATACATAATGGTCAAGTTTGTTAGGTGCACATTAAATTCACGAAATGTCTTTTTAATTGGTCTATGGTTCCATCTCATGGAAAGTACGTCGCTTATTTGAATTAAGCTCAAAATATACATTGCAAAGGAAATCCAATTTTACTCTCTCATATTTTTATATGCTTAATTGAATCAGACCTAATCCTACCAGCATTGATACATATATACGAAACCAACAAATATAAATGAATGAAAAATAAAGATACTATGGGGAGGCGGTGGCACTGCAACTTTCTAGAAGACTAAAAAATAAAACAATTGAGTTTGCAACTTATCTAACTAAAGCAATGAAGCTTGCAAATTGGCTAACGCACTCCATGTGTTGTAAACTAAACCAAAAAAAATAAAAAGTAGATAGAGGAAAGAGATTATTTACTAGAAACATTGAAGAGAATGATGCTTTTGTAGTCCTCATAGGAGATGGCTGTAATAAAGAAACAAAAATAGCATATCCGGACATGAAGAGAGAGAAATAGCTTATTTTGGTTCTTTGATTGAGAGAGAGAGAGAGAGAGAGAGAGAGAGAGAGAGAGAGTAGTTACTGTAGTTAGTAGTAGTAAGTAAG